CGGAATAAACCGAAAATCCGGTCGGTTTTGTCTAAGAACCGGGTTTCATATACAAATTTTATGGCAGTGCTGAGAGTCGAACCTGTACCTCTGGTACAGAGCAACAACGACTAAACCGCTAGGCTACTTCGCGAGATGGTGATAAGGTTGCTTACTTATAATATATAAACATTTTATCAATTTTATCTTTCTGTTTTATTTCTCTAAAACAAATTTATTTGGAATCTTTTAATAAAAATTTATGACCCCCAAACTTATGAAATGGACTTAAAAATAACATGTTACATAATTCATTTTAAAAACATATATTATTTTTAATAATTTTGTGCACTTAAAATTTATAAATAAGTTAGATAATTACACTAAACATAGATAAAATTTTATACTTGAAATTTGGTGTATTACTAAATAACTTTATATTTTATTGATTCTTATATGAATTAATTTTTTATAGCAAATTAAATTATATGAGCATTTGTTATGACATTATTTATTATAATTTATATCATATATCTTATATTTAAAATTATAAAATATAATATTTAAATATATTTAGTGACCCACCGGTTCAACCACCCACCCACTGGTTGAATCAGTAACCCGTTGACCCACCTCGTTCGCCGGGTTCCCTCCCGGGTTGGGTTTAATAACTATGATCCCCCTTCTCATCCTCTCTCATTCCTTTCCCCTCCCATCCGCCAAAAGACCCTCTTTCTCTCCCTCTAGCAATGACCAGCAAGTCGCAACCTAATTGCGGTTAGAAGCCGCAACTGGTGCAACCATATTGCGATAGTCGCAACTTCTGGCTGCGATCTAGTTATGACATGTTGATCGTGGCTAGAGAGAAAGGATGGGCTAGCGATAGAAGAGAAGGGAGGGGGAGGAAGAAGGAATGAGGGAGAGGAGAGAAAGGAGGCAAAAAGGCAGAAGAGAGGAAGGGGAGAGGCGCGGCGGCGGTGGGTGAAGGAAGGGAGGAGTGATAAGTAGCAGGTGGAGGAAAATAAGGATGATAAGTATATTTATTTATTGGTTAGTCATATTTGAGATTTGTATAGATTAGATATTTCTAGAAGTTTATTATCATAGTATTGTATTTGTAAAACTTGTTTTAAAAAAAAAAAGGAAAAAAAACTGAATCCATATAGAATCCTAATCTATAACTAGTATAACTAGGGAGTTTTATTGTAGTCATCAATTGAGAAGGGTGAAAATTTGCTCAATCCTCCTACACAGATTTATTCCTATATATATATATATATATATATATATTAGTGGATTTTTTTTTGGGTTCTACCCCTTCCCATCCTTTTCCAGGCCTTTTTTATCTCTAACAATCAGACACACAAATTCAAACCCTAAATCTAGTATGGACGAGGGGTCTTAAAAATTCATATCATGAACCTAATAGTGAGGAGGTCTCTAAGATCCTCTTCTGGTTACATTTATCAAGCTTTGTCTGTGTCTCCGTGGGTATAATAGGATTTTTATTTATTTGGTTATATTCAGGCCCTGATCAATCATTTGGAATATGCTTGGAACAAGTACTTATCATACTTAGTCAGAAAATTATATTCTGGTCCTGATCAATCATTTGGAACATGCTCGGAGCAAGTACTTGGTATGCTTTATCCCCGGAAAAAAGTTATTCCACTTTTTGGCTTGTTAGGTGCTTATTGAGTGTGACCTTAGAACATCAAATGCTCAAGTACAAATCAAAGTTTGTTTTCCTGGATATCTTCAATTTGGTTAAAGGTGCGAAGTTTATGATAGTTTAAACAACTTAGAGTCTGGTTCGATTGCAACTTTTTTGGAGTTTTAAAAAAAATATATATTGTATTATATGAGGTAAAAAACTTAATTGAAATATGTGCTAAAAAATTTCGAACTTTTTTTCCTAAAATTCAGAATCCAAATGAAACCCTATGGTAATAGTTTCTTTTCTTCGTAAGAATGAATTAACATAGCAACTAAATGAATTATATATAAGACTTAAAAAAGTAGATTTCAAAGCAGTCTTACTCTAATTAGGGCTACAAATGAGCTGAATTGAATCGAACTTTGGCCTAATCGAATTGAATCTCGACTTAATTTTATCAAGTTCGAACTCGAATTCAAACTTAACGAACTCTCAATGTAAAGTTTGGCCTTGAGCTTGAGGTTAAAAAATTTAAAAATAATTATTTTTGTAAAAAAAGAATAAAATAATAAATTTTTTTTAACAAATAATAAAATATTAAGAATATACATATAATTTTACTTTTAAAAAATAATGTATATCTATAAAATTGAGTCGACTCGCATGCTGACTAATTTTGAACTCGAGTTCGACTTGATCTGCTCGAATTCGATATTGACTGAATTCGAGGCGAAATTTGATTTGATATGCTCCCGAGCAGTTAAATTCGTGTGTAGCCCTACTCTAGGAGTAGGGATGTACGTGAGCCGAGCTACTCGCGAGTAGTTTGATCAATGGCTTGACTTGAATTCGGTCAAACGAGTTCGAGCCTAGTCTGGAGCTACTCGAATACACATTCGAGTAGAGTTCGAGTCAGATTTTGCAGTTCGTGGTTCGACGAGTATAAATAATTTAAATAATATATATATTATAATTATAAAATGACCGTTATGGGTATAATTTATACTAAATTTACATGTAAGGTATCGAGTCAAAAGCTTGATTACTCGACTTGATAAGGCTTGACTAAAGATCGAACCTTATCGAGTCGAGTCTCGAGCTTTCAAAGATTTCCTCGAGTCAAGCTCGAATTTGAAATTTTTGACTGGATCGAACTCGAGCCAAGTTATTTATAGGTCATACTTGAGTTCGACTCGGCTCGATTACATACCTATCTAGGAGTATTGGTTCAAGAGGCATTACATCAAAATACAAATGGTAGTCTCTTCGAAAACAGCAATCCGAGGCAATAAAGGCGAAAAACCGATGAGAGAAAGCCGGTGGCAGAGAAAATAGCGATCCGAGACAATAAAGACAGAAAGCCGATGACAAAGAGAAGATTGTGGATGGTTGGAATTGAATGAGAGAACACCGAATGATATAGAGGGAGTTGGAGAGTTGGGAATGGAAGAGAGAAATGGAGGTATAGAATTGAGGATGGTGTGGGTTTAATTTTCAGAAATGGGAGATATTTTGTTCTCATCCAATGACTTTCTTTCTTTATTTTTTGTTCCATACGCAACCTTGTGAGTATCAGCGATCAACGGCTAGGATAACATATTCATAAAAAAAAAAGGTATAAGTAGCCAAATTGTCGATTTTTTTTTTGTTTTGTTTAAAAAAATTGTCTCTAACACAAACAAATATTGGATAAATACGACGACCTTAAGTCGAGAACAACTCCCAAACGCATCCCGCTTTTGTGGCAAATATTTTTCAACATTATTTGAAGAAATTTGCCGAAAACAGTTAGATATCATATATGAGTTAATGCCAAAAAAAAAAAAAATTTCGACGAAAGTATTTTAAAGGCGTCTATGTTCATCAATGGGAAGTATCAGTATATAATTAAGTTAATTTCCCAAGTTAGTCATTGGGAAAAGGATCAGTATATAATTAACATCAATGTTCAAAAAGTAAAGTACGGTTTGGATGCAAGCTATCTTCAGATTTTCCCCGAATAATTGAGTAGCATAGCAACACCTGATTTATGACTGATGTTCATCATTTGAGTACGTTTTGGGTGGCACGCAATTCTTTGGATTGTCCCCGAAATTTTTTTTTTTTTTAAAAAGATGGTTGCATAATATATGACGGGAATATTGAACAGAAAATGCTGCAAACTTTCAAAGCAAAAAGACACAGCACTTGTAGAATCCAAGTTAATTTCTGGAAAGCCGAAAACTTAGGGATGATAAATCAGTATGTTGTGCGGTTGTGCCTTCCACGCCTTTCCAACTTATTTCAGAGTTCGGAAAGCTTTCCCTATTTGTGTTTACCTTCCATGTCATGACACCGTGCCTGCAGAAAACGATTAGCGTGAAGTCGCCCCTTTACCCCATTGTTAGGTTGATTTTTGGGGTTAATGTTCAACTTGCGGATAGGAGTTGAAGCAATGCTTTCACATGGATTATTGAAGTCCAAAACTTGGGTATACTCGAGTACTCAATGATTTAGATTATGTCACGCATTAGATAAGATTGTGTGACACAATTTGATTCATTGGATTGTTGAAAATCGAGTTTACCCAAATGTGAATCTTGAACATTATTGAATATTGAGGCGGACATTAGACTTAAAATGGAGCTTTGATATGTATACTGATAAATCTTTTAGCAATGTACGTGCACTTTCGGAAATTATGAACACAACTTTACCACAAGAGTACTTAAAAAAAAAGAGGTGAAATGGTTTGTTGGCAATAATATTATAACCACTCCATTTTATGATTAAATTCTCATCGTAAAATTAGTGAAGATTTTGATTTTTATGTTCATGACTATTGAATTATGAGACTAGGGTTTGGCTAACGGGCACCTGTGCTCCATTAAGAGTGGCCTAAGATGTTGGTCTTTTAGAAAAGTATATAGTTAATTTGGGATTGCGTATGTAGCAAGTTAGTTGTAATTTAAATGTGCTAACAATTGCTCACTGCATACTCAATTCACTAGAAAATTTCGCCAGACTACTATATATTTGTGGATGAGGTACTAATTAAACCTTGTTCTTGTTTGCTTCAGATTTCATAAAATCTAATTATGAAAAGTGATTATAGAATCCGCAAAAGTTACTCTTTAGTTGATTAGGATTAATGTATTTCAACTTTTTTAACTACTAAAAAATCTATAATTTGAGTACAAAAGCAAACAAGCAAATGAGAACATCACAAAAACTGAGTATTTCAAATCAAAATCTATAATCAGTTAAGAGTAATACTTTTTATATGCTATCAATGTAATTTTTTTTTTTACATACATATATATACAAATATATATATGAGCAAATTATCCGGTTGGCCATTAAACTTTTACGATCGTCGAGTTTTGGTCACTCAACTTTTAAAGGTCTGATTTTGGTCACTAAACTGTAAAAAGGTAAAACGCGAGGCCATTCTGTTACATATAGCCGTTAAATTCTTTAATCTGTCCGTTAGCGCGATTTCCAAGATAAAAGATAGGGTCTCTTTTGGAAGTTCAAAATAGCATTCAATGGATCCTGAACCACATGGATCCCCCAACCCGACTTCAGATCCGGCGAGTACATATGCTTAATTGCCGATTCAATCATTTTCCTGACCTCATTACTCGCGGATCCAAGATCCTCCAAGAACCTCCTCACCGTCCTCCGCCTCAACTCCTTCATCGTTAAAACTGACCCCATGGCCTTCCTCGACGCTGTAAACAGACAATTTTCGTCGGCTTCCACCTCTCCGCCGTGACTTAACCTGAAGACGACCAACGTGTTCTGATCCTCTAGATGCTTCCACAAAACCCCTTTTGCCTGCAGCCTCGTCAGGTGCCTTTTCTGCTACTCCTCTAATCCTGAAACGTCATCCCACGACGTCATTGTTGTTGGCGGCACTGGCCGCTGACTGGTCAACGAGATCCACCGTTGGAGTTGAAGTTGGGTCTCTCCATAGCAGGTCTTTTGTTTTCCCTTGTTGGCGTAAAGCCAACCCTTTTATGTCTTTTAGCAACCAAGATTAAAGTCTTTGTTTGATCTGACAGAGATTAGGACCCACAAATAGATTAGTAAATACTTCTTCGATCGGGGCTGAGAAGAGAAAAAGACTTATTTTGCAAGAACTTCGATAAAAGAGATCCACCGTTGGAGTTGAAGTTGGGTCTCTCCATGGGATCACCGGTGACGACGCCGTCGGGTAGCAAATCAACTTTCCCATTTCTCAAATCTTTTGAATTTCCTTAAAAGACCTTACCTTTTGTCTTGGAAATTGCACTAACGGACAGATCAAAGAACTTAACGGTTAAATGTAACAGAATGGCCTCGCATCTTACCTTTATACAATTTAGTGGCCAAAATCAAACATTTAAAAGTTGAGTGATCAAAACTTGACGATCGCAAAAGTTTAATGGCCAACCGGATAATTTGCTCTTCTATATATATATATATGTATGTTAACAGGTTTAGGTTATGGATAAGTGCTTTTTCGTTGTGAGGCGAAGAATAGCCATGGAACTATGGGCTTAGGCAACAGAGGGATGTTAGAAAGCAAGTAGCTGGACCGCGGATAGAAGCATAAAACAGAGCCCAAACCACAATCTTGGTTAGATGGATCAAGGATAGATATATATACACACACACACACATGGGCAGACGGTAGGATAGAGGGATGAGCCCAAAAAGTATTCAACTGCTAGACAAAGAAGTTAAGAAGGGCGGAAACCTCAAACATTGGAAGTTAAGAACTGGTAGGAGTAATTGGGTAATGAAACCCTAAGCAGCTCGCTGAACCTCCTCTTGTGTGAGTTATAAAACGCAAACGGCACCTCTCCAGCTGTGAGTCCTATGAATCTGTCCTGGAGATCATTCCGACAGTAAACTCCACTCCCGGGAACCTTTTATCTGTTGAGTACTAAAATTGATTGTCAACGTTGTTCTTTGTTTTCGTAGATCTTTTCTTTTCTCTGCATCTCTGATGAAAATGGTCTTTTGTTACTTGCCAGCTGCACTAAGTACTGAGGCTCTGTGGCCGTAAAAAGATGGCCAAGCTGCCTAATTTTACAAAGTGCAAACACTAAACAAAGCATCAATGGGCTTCGCTTTGCAGCGTAAACTCTCCTTATGCTTATGCTGCCTGTTATGCCCATACATATGCTCAATTGCTGGTGCCTTTTGCCCTTCTTTTTCCTGCTTTTGTTTTTGGTTTCTCATCAATCGAAATAAAACGGTCTGAATTGGCAGATTAGTTTGAGAAGAGACTCCAAAACCAAAAAAAAAAAGGGTAAATTGAAATGTGTGAAAGTCATGAGTAATGTAGTAGTAGTAAATTTTAAGTGTCAAATTTTAATTCCCCCTCCCTTCCCTAATGGTGACGAAGATACTTCTGGCGAAATATTTGAGCAGTTTACGGGACATCAAATATGGTTTTCGATGCAGTATTATCAATTATGCTAGCTTACAAGTGGGTAAATTATCAATTATGCTAGCTTACAAGTGGGTGCTTTTAATGGTATCTAGGATGCTCTGCTGTAGCATCATTCTTGTGAATTTGTCTAAGCCATTTGGTAGCAACGCCCGTACTCCGGTGCATTTGAATTAACTGTTTTTTGGGGTGTTTTTGAAAAATTTTACTGTAATAGAGTTTTTATAGTATATTTTAGAATATTTTGAAATATTTAAGAGTAGAAGAGTTTTTAGAATATTTTTTGTAATATTTTTTAAATATTAAAAAAATTTAGACAATTTTTTAGAAATTTTAATAGTATTTGAAAAACTCAGCGATCCAACTAGAGACTCTTTTGTATTTTTAAAAAATTTTAATAATATTTGAAAAACTCAGCAATCCAAATAGAGCCTCTGCAAAAATTTTATCTGTCAAATTTCATTGTCTCTTTTCATCTGTCAATATATTAGTAAATCACCGTGAGAGGCCATCTCAAAATGTATTGACATTTCATATCAGGTTTCATTTCAGTTGTTATTACTTAATCTAAAATTATGAGCTGTCCTCGTTGTCCCTGGAATGGATCCTCTCGTGGCGTATTTAAGGAATGGATCTTTGGCTCTAGGAGCATTTGTCTTCGAAGTCACCATCAGCAATCAGCAAATATTATTGCAAAATGTTATTTTTACTGCAATAAAAATATATATAGGTTTTCCGAAAGAATAGTCCAGAGACAGCATGGCATCTTCCTACTAGTACTACTATACCCTGAATGGTCTGGGGACCTGTTCTCCTGCTGATTTGAAGCAGAAAACTGAAACTGGGACTCGGTGTAAAAGTACAACAATCATTTTGTTCAAGTCCAAGTCTGGATTCGGACATCTTTTCCAAGATATTGCTGGCAGTGTTATTACTCCTCTTGTATAAGGGAGAAAAAAAGGAAAGAAAAAAAAGAGGAGGGAAAAAAAAAGGTCCAATTCGGGATTAAGACATCTTCTCCAAGTTATTGATGCTACGGTGGTGCTGCCTTGCTCATTTTGGGACTTCTTACTGCAAAAGCGAATTTGACGCGGTGCTGAGCTATGAATGGTCATTCGAGTAAAGGGGCGGTTTGGTGTACAGCGCGCAGAAACATCCAACCACTTCGTACGCTCCATAGATTGTATTGAAAAAGCATGCAAATTTCAAACTCAACCCGAACTTGGTCCTGAAAGAATTGAATGAAGCTGGAGAATACTCCAACCAACCTCTCTTTTTCCCAGGCTGCATTTAGACCCCTTTTTAATTGCTCATCAGAGGGAGAAGTGCATCTGCAAAAGCGGCTGAGAGGCGTTCCATATCCAGGCTTCATAATTTCTCTAGCAAAGTACAACATGTACCAGAACGGTAGAAAGTAGGCTTCTGGGTTCTGCTATTTCTCACTCATGTAGTACTCGTACACCACCATGCCATCATCACTCAAATGCAGAAACCGTGACGGATTCTGACGGTGATACGTTTGGAAATTAATCAAATCGTGCTCCATTTCCAATTCCACTACTTCCCTTTGCCTTTGCCTGTAAAAGTAAATTTGTAAGTCATACAGGCCCTCTCTGATGCTATGTACTACGAGCGTATCTTGCAGAGTTTCTGCAAGAATCAAGTCAATTCGGATGGACAAATAAGACATTAGCTGGTGTTGTTGGATCAACGGACATTTGACAGATAAATTGTAAGCAAGCTCCAGTTCCGGAACTGCATTAGAACCCTGCGGACTGGAAATGTTTTGCAGGTTCCTGAACCAATGCTTTTATGATGGAATTTAATTCGATCCCTGGATTGCCCTGTCCAAGTTTAATCTAGCAAATTCGAACCTGGAGTTTTTCTTTGATCAACCCGCACTTCGTTTTTGTGTTACAGTAATATGCATAAGCTATATATTGGGAACAAATAAATCCACATAAGTGGGGCAGTCACTATAACTTACCAAGCTATCATATACACGTACTTGTTGAGTAGCTTTCTGGTTTATTTTTTGCGCCGGCTTTAAAATAAGACAGTTCGATACCTCCGGAATTTGTTTCCACATGGCAAAAGAAAATCATAACATCAAAGATCTTCACTGCAGTCTAACTATATGACGATCTAAGAAATTTCAGATGTGCACGAAATTTACTGCACAAAATCGGTTTCACAGTCTCATCTATCTCTTGATTTCAACTTGAACTCATCATTGCCGTCTAAAACGTACTACGAGAATGGGTTTGACAATTGATCTCACTGCATATTTTCATCGAATTGTGTCTACATTAATCTTAGGGCGTGCCACTCATAAGGCTTTGAATTGTGTCTGCATTAATCTTTGCACATAGCACTCAGCTTTTTCCTCATTAGAAAAGTGATGAGATTTAAGAAATTGGGCAGAGAAACGAGAATTTGAATTCAGCATTTTTATATTCGGCAATTTCAACCTTAATCACTGGACGAAACCCTCCACGAGACGGCGCTCATAATATTTGTCGCAGAACAATTATTAATAAGAACAACAAGGTATGCGTAACTTTCATGTAATTTGGACATCAATGACCAATGGGAAGGAACTAGGAAGAGATGCTATATTAGATCTCCTAATCAAATCTAAAGTTAGTTGTCAATAAGATTAGACCTATTAATTACGAATTTGATAAGCTAAGCAATGGTGAGTGGCTAAGCAGATCAGCGAGCGTGCAATAGAAAATGCAAGAAATCCATGTGACAAAATTACCATTTAGTACATTCAATAAGCCCCGGATTGGTCGTGGCGTCTCTGACTCAAGAAGCCCATGTGATATGGTCTTTAATATGACTTGACGATATAAATGCTCCAAGCACGCGCCGGCGCTGCTTCAGGAAAATTGTACTCCAAAAAATAAAAAGGCGATTCATTGCCCGCCCAAATGTGGCCAATATTTCACTAAGGTCAACTTTTCTCACAGCCTGGCTTCATTATTCATCTACTTAAATGCCAGAGAAGAAATTATCCTTCCAGAATTTAGATGGCATTATTTTCATCAATTAATCGAGGCGTTACCAGACAGCTTAACATGTTGATGAGAATCAGGACTTGGCCTGAGGGACTCCCCCGTCCATGCACTGTTATGAGTATTGTCCACAGTGATGGCCATGTCCTGAAGTCCAGAAGTGAACGACATGGAATTATCAATGCCTTTCCAATCTTCTTCACCTTCTTCCTTCATCATTCCCCCCTCGCAAGACCCCGATGAATTCCCCACGAACTCGATGTAAGCCGTGGAACTATCTCCAATTCCGTTGGATGACATTTGGGGTGCGTTCTCGGAATAGCTAAGTGTAGATGTGGGCGACTCCAGGTCACCGGCTAGCCCGGTAACTGACGCCGCGGCACCACCAGCGCTTGTACCGGCTTGATCATCATTGGGCTTGGTCCATACACCGTTCCACGCCTTGAGTATGTCGAGACAGCGTGGCGGCCCCGGAGGGACCAGGGCCGGCTTGTTGAGAGGACTGGAGGGGGAGGAAAACTCTGGAGAAGCAAGGGGGTTGTGGAATGAACTGGAGCGTAGCTTTGATTGTCTGACCAATCTGGCTTCGGCTTCTAGGCGGGCGCTTTCCCATTGAGCCATGTGGCTGAGGTTGGCTGCATGCTTGGACTGGCCGTCGTTGGACAAGATTGCGTCGGTTTTGGGCTTGTGGGTGATTGGATCGATCCCCATTTTGGCCAGTCGTTTCTTGAGATGCGTATTCCAGTAGTTTTTGATCTCATTGTCTGTTCTCTTGGGCAAGTGAGTGGCTATAGCCGACCACCTGAGAACAATTAAGGCAACCGGAACATAAGAAGACAAACTCAAAAACAGCAAAAGAACAAAACCCTTGATTATATCAAAATTTAACATCAACCGAATACCAAAAAGCAAAAATTTTCAGTTCCTTCCGTGACGACAAAGACAAAAATGCCCGACCAATGTACAAGCAAATGCCGAAATCCTGTTTTCTTTCGCCACGTTGAAGAAAATTACAAGATCCATGAGGCAGATCACTAAAACAGAAGAACCATACGCCACATTTTTAGCCTTGTGCATTTCCAGAGCAGAATTACTCGTACAGTAACTTGTCCACATAAGTATTTGTTATGGAAGCAACTAGCTAGGAAGCACCGACCCTTGAATTGGAATGATTGAAGCAGTCGTTAATTAATGAGACTCTGATGAAATACATTTGCTTTACTAAGCAAGCTATTTGAGAGGCTCGTATACATAAATTACTGCCATGAAATAAAATCCGACTCACAAAATGGGCAGTGCCATAAGTAGACTCAAGAATCCCAGAATTTTAAGACTAAAAAGAAAAAAAAATTGGGAATACATACATAGGATCCCAACCTATAAGAAATATGGTCTCTTGGATTCCCTGAAGCTAATTACTCATTGTACTTGTCAACAACAGTGTTAAAATTAATGGAGGAACATAAGAAGAAATGGTTCACCTGTTTCCTAAGAGAGCATGGAGTTGAATGATGGTTTGTTCCTCCTGTATACTGAATTTTCCTCTCTTAATGTCGGGTCTGAGGTAGTTGGTCCATCTAAGTCTGCAACTCTTCCCACATCTTTGAAGGCCTGCAAGCGGGGAAGCATCATACATACTTTTAGTACACTGATTATCATCATGCAAAAGCTAGCGGTTGATTGATGAAGCATGATTGATAATGCAAAAAAAAAAAGAAAAAAGTAGGAAGTGTTAAATTGAGTAAAACAAGTCACCAGCTTTGGCAGGCAAGGCACGCCAGCTTCCATGTCCATGTTCTTCGATGTAAGCCAACAGTTTCTGATCTTCTTCAGGAGTCCATGGCCCTTTCTTGAGGCCTACTTTATCACAGCATGGAGATCGCCCCATTTCGGCGACTAATGATTTTGGTGATGATCAGCAACGAAAAGATTCTGGCTCTTGCGGCTCTTTATATACTGCTGCTATACTCACAGAGTCACACCAAAGCACGGTTTCTAAAATGAGAGATGAGAGAGAGAGAGAGAGAGCTCAATGTAGTGTAATTAACTCTCCATGTCTTAGGACTGAGAGAGAGAAAGAGACGGAGCGGTAAGTAAATACAAGGAAAGAGATGGCTAGGAAGAAAGGTCAGCGACATAGGTGGGATAAAGATATTTAATTCGATCAACCATATGGCCATGGGCTTCCTTTTGACACGATTGCCCTCTCCTCTCCTCCTCCTCCTCCTTCTTCTTCTTCTTCTTTCCTTCTTCTTTCCCCAAAATACTCTCTCTAAACACTAGACTAGTAGGCTTTTGAGGGACTTGTATACCACACGTACTCATTCCTCAATCATTCTTCTCCCTTTAAATCTTGCTGTACGTATTACAGTATATGAGGAGACACTTGGTATTAAAATTTTGTATTATATTTTCATTTTTCAATCTCACCCATATAAGATTCAAGAATTCCTAAAAGATGGTAACTATTTAAGTTTAGTGACTTCTAACAACTTTTACTTTCAATAACTTCTATTTTTTTTTGTTTGTTTGTTTGCCAGAAAAAATCATACTTTAATTTCGTTTTATATCGAAAAAAATACCCTTCTAATAACTTTTATTAATTTTAATAAAAAAACTTAATTTTTTTCCTAATTTGCACACCCATAGAGTGTGCTTTTTTCACTAGTTATCTTGATTGGTGTGAAACTACCTTTTACTCAATGGGCGTGGTCATTGGAACTATCCCTATTTGGAGCCTCTTTAGATTTTCTATTGACGTAAAAACATGAAAATATCCTTATAATTTCATTTTAATTACAACTTGACAACGATTGTGCGATATGGAATGAAGTGATAGGGATATTTCTGTTTGATTCACAGCGTAAAATTGTTCAAGGAAACGCCAGTAGCTAACAAGAAACAGCTAGTATTATAAATTCTTTGCATTTCACACTCTAGACAGTCTATATATGCATATATGATTGAGTTGTGAGGATCCCATTTGAATGGAACAGAACTTTTGCCAGACAAATAAGAGTAGTGATCTTTTGCCTTTGGTCACAATAGCAGGTAACTTACTTGTCATTAATTTCTTCTCATGATTGTATTTTTTTCTTTTTTTTCTCATGATTGGATCTTGAAGTCCTATTACTCGTAGAATAGGCTAGTATGACCGTATCAGTATCTGTCGGCCGATGAACAGAGCAAGTATTTTCAATTCTCAGTGGTGCAATCCAATAGCAGTAGTTGTTTGACTGCAAATTCATCGACCGCAGAAAGGGCCAAAAAAAAAAAAACAAACAACAAAAGGAGTTTGGCTGTTAATTCAACAAATCATCAGCCTGACAGGACAATTATATGAAGTTCAAATTCATGATTCAGGAGGAATTGTTGAAGTTGGATGTTATTTCGGGTGTGTCGTGGCTGAAATTATTTCGGGCTTATCTTCTTCGCTGTTGATGATCGACAGGGACTGTGCCAACCGCAAGAGGACTAATTGAAAAAATGTGATACGGCTTTCACCACATAATTCATAAAGTAACGACATCAATTAATATATCTTTTGCTTTTGTTGATAGTCACCAGCTAAAGACTAACTACCCTGTACTAATAGTAATAGACATTTACAGCAAGTAGATTCTAGGACCATTTTAGTTTTTGGAGCAGCACGTACAGTAATCCTATGAGTTAAAACAATAATGAAAGCGTCCCATTTTTTGTTTTCTCTCTTCGAAAGTATCTATTATTTTTGGAGGGGGGGAGGAGAAAAGTTCTTCTGTGGTATTTTATTTAAACATGTTTTTTAATTATTTTTTTATAAAATATTACCAATCGAAAAAACTTTAAAATTTGTGTGAATTATTATTATATCTTTATATGATTTATTTTCCACATTATCCTTGTAAAGGAGGAATGAATTTATTTCACCTGTGTGCATTTGGCGGGGCACAGAGGCCAGTTTCTGTGATTCATGGATTATTACTTGTTCATTTTATAAGAGATAGATTTTAAATTTAAATTTTTTATTTACGATCTTAGATTTTAAATCGACACTTTCTACTTATAATTTCTTCGACCTTACGGTCCAATCCAACCACACCGCTGGTGCTCTCCGGTGCAGGGTTACAAGTTTCCCCATGTTGCCTTTGTTTATAGCCTGGCAGCCCATTGTCGCAATCAATGCATTTCCTTCGCCGCAGACATTAATGACGCAGCGCAAGCTTTGTCCGGACCTCAAGCTGATTAACTTGTCCTGTCATATTCAATGTTGTTAAACTTGGACTAGGTAATGATTCGGTTAAACTATTAGATTATGGATTAATGTATCGAATCGATCGACCGTTTACGAAAACTCGTTAATGTTAGTATGATGTCATAATTTATTTATTTTTTTAATAAGTTTCAGAAATATTGAAATTAAGTTCTTAGTTATATTCAGCCAATCATACAAAATGTTCCAAAAATATTAGACTTACAATCAAATACACACATAATAATTATATATAAAAATATAAATTCATGACTAAAATATGTCCATTTTTTAAAATATTTGAAAAACTAAATTAAAACAAATTAATGTAAGTTAGAATCACTCTTGCTAAATTGATGAGATGACAAAGATGAAAACATCTTGATTTAGAGATCATTCAAAAATGCAAGTGATTTTGGTATTTACACTAAATAGGTGGCATTTTTTGCATTCCTATTAGTAAATAAAAGTGTTACAATTTAGGTAACTCAAATTATGTTTGGAGAAAATAAAAAAGAAAAGTTTGAGAATGGGGTCAACAATCAAATCGGGTCGCTGGTTTAACCGATCTTTTACATTTTTTATTGATTTTTGACCAAAAAGGTTTTGTTCTGCAAACTAATTCGAAAAGAAAGCCGATTCACGGTCGAACCGGTCAAATCGATCGATTCGGTCTGAGTTTAACATCAGTAGTCATATTTCAGGTTTTTACTACCTACATACAAGCATTTGACCTTACAAATCCATTAATTTTGGCCACTGCGAAAAAAAGGGGTCATTTAATTATGTAATTGATGTATAAAGGGCAAGCAAGGCAATATATATATTTTTTATTTTGGCTGTCTGAGTAAGATTAATCTGTGAATTTGAAGTCATAGATTAAATACTCAGTATTGGCCAGTAACATTCTTTGCATGAATTTTTTCTCCAATCTACACCCAAAATAACTTTTTAGACATTTCTTTTTATTGCCCGTCAAAGTTAAACACAAAGGGCACCATTTGGATCCCTTTTTTTTTATGGATTTTATTACTTGTACGGTCACCCAATTGCATCATTAGAAAAAAAAAGTTTGGTGCTTCAAAATGTGCTGCTTTGGTGAATGTTATTTCTTGTTTTACGTTTTCTACTTGGGTTGTGGTGACACATATTGCAAAATGACGTGAATATTGAGATACACAAAAATTTATTACGTGTCTGTTTGGAAGTTTCTTCTACCTTCAAAAGAAAACTTATTTTTGATAGTACTATTTTTTTCATTTAATATAATACATTTTAATGTTATAAAGCAATATCAGAAATTTTTTCCTCTTTAGACGTATTATAGCATGTGATATATATAGCCCTTAATTGTAGTTTACAAACATACACGTTTATTAAGTCTATCTAAATATTTTCCTAACAAATAATAATATATGCATGCTGGTTACACTGCAAACCGGCCGGCCGGTCGGTAGGTCCATGATATATATATAGAGATTATTAATAAATAAGGTTACAATGGTAAGTTGTTGCGAGGTAGGGAGATTTTAGTGGTGTGGACCTCTCCACCTGCGAAGGATATCTTGGGTGATTGTTTGTTGCCGAAGTTAGGGAAAAGGGCCCCAGGAGCAAAAGGCAGCAAAGGAAACAAATGTGCTGCCGGTGAGGGAAGAGCGGGGAGGACAATGGGGTCTCCCACCTTAACTTCTCTTTCCGATCGCTGCCAGCTCCAGCCTTTTTTTTGATACATATGGTCCAACATCGTCTTAAATTCTTCCATTGAATAATCTCCCCACAAGGCAAGACCCTTGGCAAGGAGCTCCAACGTGGCCAATTCCTCCTCAAACAAATTAAATATTAAACCCGTTGGAAAATAATCTAAAATAATAATAATAATAAATGTTGCACCTTTGATGATTAATGCATATAATGGCCATCCATGTTCTAGTAAATTAATTTGACGCAATGATTTCGAACACCATCGCCGTTTATTTTGTTTTAACAGTAATCTTGTAATAATAATGTAACCTAAGTCTTGCTGCTTGCATGCAGTGAAAAAAGGAAAAAAACACATACCCAATTATCATTCCATTTGACCCCCAGAATACAAAAAGGAATTTGATGATTATACGCATGGTTATAAGACAAACAAAATTACTAAAATTTAGTTGAACTTCGTAAGAACTCGTTTGAATTTGATTCTTCAACTAATCAAGTCAAGTTTAAACAGTTAGTATTTCTGTATTTGGCTTTTCAACTAATCAAGTCAAGTTTAAACAGTATTTTTTGTGTTTGATAAAATTGAAACTCGACTAGAGCAATGACTCGATTAGTATAAGATTAAAATTTACGGTTAAAAAAATTTCGAGTTACTAGAACTCTATTCAAGTTTAGCTTAATAAAAACTCATCTGAATTTGATTGCATGGATAATCGAATCAAACTTGAACAAAAAAAAGTGTTCGACTTGATTAGAACTCGTTCGAATCCTCACGTGGTTGCATGTACGACTGGAAAGGCGATTTCACTTTTCGACGGACACCATAAGCTTTACACCGAGGTCACTAATTTGAGTATTATGATCAATTTGGTATCCCATATAAGTGAGGCAGGTCATGTGGGTTCATTGAATGACCGAATGTGGATCTTTCTCATCTTTACGAGGACGGTAATTCGTTAAAAATAAATGGACCAATCTCATTATTTTGCACTCTTCATATTTAATACTGCTACTAATTAATCTTCAATTTTCATCACAACTCGTTATTTGCACTTTCTTATATATACACTTAAAAAGTAATCAAATTTTGTGAACACAAACTATGAATCAAAAAATAAAGTGGGTTTGGACGATGCCACTTTTACCACCAGTGGGGACTTGGAGACTTCCATGCGCATCATCATGCCTTTGTTTTGTCAAATTTCGTAACAAAATAATCACTTGAAAAGTGAAAGTTGGTACATCTAACCATTATTTAATCAATCAATTTGAA